GTTTCTGGGGGGGACAACACAAAATTTGGGATTTTCTTTTTGATTTCAATGATAATGATAAACAGGACAAATAGGGTGAATCTCCCTAAAGGGCACACACGGCAGTAAAAATGGACACGTGTTCTAAGGCCTCTATACTCTATGTAAAACTAAAAAAAAAAAAAAAAAAAATTAGAAAAAGTCACCATGCTTTTGTTTGCAGGGTAGACTTCCTTAATAGTCAGGATTAGCACTACTTTTTCCTGCTTGTTCATTTGAAACTTGAACAGAGTACAATAGCGAATATGTTCACAAAACAAAATTCTTACAAATAAGGGAAGCCAATTCACAAGTAGTGAAGCATTGTGCTTCTGAAGCATTGTGATAGTTCAGAGAAAGCAGCTTGTCAAGTATGTATGTTGCTCAGTCAGGATATGGGATAGTTTTTGGTATTGAAATCAAGGAAGGCATTTTAAGAGTGCATTATTTAATTCAAGGAAAGAGGTTTCTAAGGGACTACTACTTGCCAAAGTTTTCTTCATAATAACTATTTTACATGACTATTTTTTTTTTTAATCACAGGGTATGCAAACCTAAACAAAAATCCTGGTTAATCATGCTCTGTTGGTTTTGTTGACTGGCTTGTTTTTCTCCAAGCTCCATTATTCCATTTGGTAAATATGCCATCTAAAGTCCCAGGTACACTACTCCCTACAGATGCCCATCCCACTGCTGCGGTTTGAGTCCCACATTCTTGAAACAATAAAAGAGGCAGACTTGCTATGAGGAATGTTTCTAAAGAACAGCAGCATCAAATGCAACTAGCTGCTATGGTCAGCATTCTTAATCACATGGATTAGAGTCATGCAAAGCCAATGCTTCATCATCTGCCCCTGAACTGGACCATTTCTCTGAATACACTCTTGCTATGCTCCGCTAGCTTTCCATTTTAACATTTGTGTGCATAAACCCTATAGAACTCCAGTCAAGTTTATGTTATGCTGACTCAGAGCCATCAATACTCTTTCCTGAAAATGCCATCTACCTAGTTGGATGGATAACTTTTCAATTCATGGAGTCACTGACCAGTGTACATACAGTTTGTGTTCAAAATAATAGCAGTCAGACATCACTAACCTGATCAATCACTGTTTTTGGTAGAAATAATATTTTCTACATGGCAAATAATTTACTAGCAGGTATAGTAGAGTAATAGAAATCCAAAAGACCCAACAGTCATGACATGCATGCTGCTGATTCTGTGTAATTGAAAGGGGCATGTTCAAAATAATAGCAGTTTGGAGTTCTATTAGTGAGGTCATTCATTCTTTGAAAAGCAGGTGGCAATTATTGCCCTTATTTAAGGAAGGAAGGCAGCAAATGTTGTACATGCTGATTACAGTGCATTTCTCTCTGAAAATTCTGAGGAAAATGGGTCATTCCAGACATTGTTCAAAGAACAGCGTACCTTGATTAAAAAGTTGATTGGAGAGTGGGAAGTGCAGAAAATGATAGGCTGCCGGCAGCTAAAATGATTGCAAATGCTTTAAAATGGCAACCAAAACATAAAAGACGTGGAAGAAAGCGAAAAACTACCATTCGAATGGATAGAAGAATAGCCAAAATGGCAAGGACTCAGCCAGGACAATCAGCTCCAGGAACATCAAAGGCCTAAAGTTACCTGTGAGTACTGTTACAATTAGAAGACGCCTATGTGAAGACAAGCTATCTGCAAGAAGCCCCCGCAAAGTCACACTGTTGAAAAAAAGACGTGCTGAAGAGGTTTACAATTTGCCAAAGAGCACATTGACTGGCCTAAAGAGAAATGATGCAACATAATTTTGTGGACTGATGAAAGTAAGATTGTTCTTTTTGGTCTAGTGGCCGGAGACAGTTTGTCAGACGACCCCCAAACACTGAATTCAAGCCACAGTACACTGTGAAGACAGTGAAGCATGGTTGCGCAAGCATCATGATATGGGGATGTTTCTCATACTACGGTGTTGGGCCTATTTATCGCATACCAGGGATCATGGATCAGTTTGAATACATCAGAATACTTGTAGAGGTCATGTTCAGTGAATGGACTGCCACCAATGTGTGGAACTCACCTGCCTTTTGATCTGCAGATACCAGGGCTGGCCACGGGTGCTCCCAGCAATCAGAGACTCAACCTTTCAGCCACTAACAACCTGAACTGATGATACTGGTGTATTTAAGGGATGGCCAGAACATTGCAGACTCTGCCTTGGTGTTGTGTTTGTCCTGTGCCCTGTATCTGTCCTCAATCCTGTTTTTTCTGTTCCTTTGCTACCTTTTCTGATCCCCTGCTTGTGACCCTGACCATTCCCTCTGCCTGACCCTACCTGTACTACGCTGCTCTACTACCTGTTCTGATCCCTGCCTTGTGACCCTGACCAGCCCTCTGCCTGACCCTCTGTACTACGCTGCTGTGCTACCTGCTGAACCTGGCCTGTGACCCTGACCATTCTCCGCTTGCTCCCCCTGTACCTACCTGCCCAATTGATATTGACTTCGGCCTGCCTGACGATAACGCTTGCTTGTATGTACTGTTATCTGTGGGTGGTTTGGGTTGGGTTTGTTTGCACTGTGTTGTATGTTTAGTATTGCACTGCGTTTATGTTTGTAATTGTTAGTGTATAATAAATTACATTGTTAATCACATATCATGAAGTCTGTTGCGTTTCCCTGCTTCAGTCTCACACCCTCTGGTCATACCTGAGGAGCCCTGACAGTTACACCAAGGCCAATCCTGACCATAAGTGCTGCACAGGGAAGCCATCTTGCTTGTTGATGGGAAGGATGGATCTGGAAGAGTTGCTATATTTATATCTGCTAGTGTTTGATGACAGGAGTAAGCATATCAAACTCTGAATGAGTATACCCGGAATGAACTGCTAGAATTATATAACGGCTCCTCATACTTTCTAGATAGATCAGGCACAGAGTTCTCTGAGGTGCAGCCTTTGATTTGAGTTTTGTGCAGAGTTTGGTTTCATTTCTGGTACCCCCCGAATGCAGGGATGAATGTTTTGCCACCATTTAGGGTGCAGACCATGTAGAGTCCCTGGTAGTGGTTATTAAGATGATTGGGGTTACTTTCTGAAGCGTTTATTCCACATGTTCACCACAGACACTAAGAATTGTATAAACGCAGTGCAGTCCATTGACCAGACAGTGCGTTGTGTAAGCTCAGCTTTGTTCAACCCATACTGCAGACATGGACAGACTTGTTGCACCCAGCCTCAGTCACTTACACAAAAACCCAGTCCTGGCTTCTAACTCTACTCCTGTATATCCCAACAGGCTCCTCCAGTTACAGCCCAGTATACTTGGCTATCTACCGCAAAGTCAGTACCCTGTTCCCATTCGCTGCACCTATCCTGCCCTTTAACAACCCTGTAAAAAAGCCCTCTGTAGCAAACTTGCTCCCTCTCCGGTTCCATTCCCTCCCAGTTCTGTCTCTGTCTCCAGCTGCTCCATTCGTTTTTAGCAGACCTGCGTTTACTTCAGTGCTCCAGTAGTTAAAACCAGAAAAAAGCGAAAATTCTTTCCAACCAATACCATCCTGCCAGTAATCCAAATCGGTGAGCCTGCCTTCCGTGGTATTCAGCCTGAAGCCTCTACTCAGCCTGAAGCCTCTACTGTACTCGGCCTGATGCCGTACGCAGCCTGATGCCTCTCTTCAGCCTGATGCCTGTATGCAGCCTGATGCCTCATACTCGACCTGAAGGCCTCTACTCTGCCCTGAAGCCTCTACTCGGGCCTGATGCCTCTACGGTCGGCCTGAAGCCTCTACTCGGCCTGATGCCTCTACTCGGACCTGAATGCCTCCTTTTTTCTCGGGCCTGATGCCTCTACCCAGCATGATGAACTGATCCAGCCTGACGATCCAATTAGGCCATTGACTCGATGCCCGCTGTTGATCCAGATGATCCGGTGCCCGCTGTCGTGCACAATTGACTCAGAGCCCGCTGTCGTACCTGTGACTCGTGCCCACTACCGCCTTGCCAGATGACGCGGTCCCCTGGCGAGCAAATGACCTGATGCCTGGTGACCCAGTGCCCGCTGTCATACCTGTGACCCATCCCCTGTCGCGCCAACGATCCAATGCCTGGTGACCCCTGCCCACTCTGCCTTTGCCAGATGACTCGGTGCCCTCTGGCAAGCCCAAATGACCTGAATGCCTGGTGAACCCAGTGGCCAGCTGTCATACCTGGTGACCCGATGCCTGCTGTCGAGCCAGACAATCCGGTAACCTGATGACCCGGTGCCCACTAGTCGTTCCTGTGTGACTCGGAGCCCACTGCCTTGCCAGATGACGCGGTGGCCCCCTGTCGAGCCAAATGAACCTGATGCCTGGTGACCCATGCCCCCGCTGTCCATCCAGACGATTCAATGTCCTTAGCCCCAGTGCCCCGCGATCATGCCAGTTTTGACATCGGAACCCACTGCCTTGCCCCCCACCCCCCACCCCCCCCAGATGACGCGGTGGCTCGCTGTCAAGCCAAATGACTTGATGCCTGGTGACCCGATGCCCGCTTGTCCAGTCAGAACGATCCAATGTCTGACCCAGTGCCCGCGGTCATACCATTAAACCTCGGAGCCCACTGCCATGCCAGATGACGCGGTTGCCCGCGGTCGAGCCAAATGACCTGATGCCTGGTGACCCGATAGCCCGCGTCCGGTCAACGATCCAATGTCTGACCCAGATGCCCGCGGTCATACCATTGACTCGGAGCCCACTGCCTTGCCTAGAATGACACGGTGCCCGCTGTCGAGCCAAATGAACCAGCTGCCTGTGAGACCCGATGCCCCTGTCCAGCCAGACGATCCAATGTCTGAACCTAGTGCCAGCGTCAGTGCCAGTTGACTCGGAGCCCACTGTCGTGCCTGTGTGACCTCAGGTCCATCCCCGCTGCTCCGCCTGGGGGCCCGAGACCTGTCGCTCCCGCCTGGGGGTCCAACGCCCGCCGCTTCCACCTGGGGTCCGGCGCCCGCCCCCCCGCCTGGGGCCCGAGAACCTGTTGCTGCTCCGCCTGAGGGCCCGAGACCCTGTCGCACCGCCTGGTGGGTCCCCGGCGCCCCCCCGCTCCGCCTGATGGCCCGAGACCATGTCGCTCCACCTGGGGGTCCCGTCCGCCCCCCGCCGCTTACCGCCAGAGGCCCGAGACCTGTCGCTCCACCTGGGGGGTTCCGGCGCCCGCCGCCTTTTAAACCACCTAGAGGGCCCGAACCTTGTCGCTCCCACCTGGTTGGGTCCGGCGCCCGCCGCTTCCGCCTGATGGCCCGAGACCTGTAAAGTTCCGCCTGGGGGTCCGCGCCGCCCAGCCGCTCCGCCTGTGGGCCCTAGACCTGTCGCTCCGCCTGGGGGCCCGAGACCTGTCGCTCCCGCTCCTGGGGTCCGGCGCCCGCCGCTCCGCCTGAGGGCCCGAGACCTGTAGTTTCGCCCTGGGGTCCGGCGCCCGTACCGCTTCCGCCTGGGGGCCCGATGCCTGTCGCCCCCCGCCTGGGGTCCGATGCCTGTCGCCCCGCCAGGGGGGCCCGAGCCTGTCGCTCCATTCTGGGGGTTCCGCACCCGCCGCTCCGCCTGAGGTGCCCGAGACCTGTAGTTTTCCGCCTGGGGGCCCGATGCCTTCCGCCCCGCCCGGGGGCCCGATGCCTGTCGCCCCGCCCGACGTTGCCCGAGGCCTGTCGCCCCTCCCCGGGCCCGGTGCCTGCCGCTCCGCCCGGGGGCCCGGTGCCTTCCCGCTCCGCCCGGTGGCCCGCTGCCTGCCGCTCTCCGTCCGGTGGCCCGCTGCCTGCCGCTTCGCCTGGTTAGCCCGATGTGCCCTCTGCCCGAGTCCTGCCCGATGTGCCTCTGCCCGGAGTCCAGCCCGATGTGCCTCTGCCCGTGTGGCCTCTGCCCGGAGTCCAGCCCGATGTGCCTCTGCCCGGAGTCCAGCCCGATGTGCCTCTGCCCGGAGTCCACCCGATGTGCCTCTGCCCTGAGTCCAGCCCGATGTGCCTCTGCCCGGAGTCCAGCCCGATGTGCCTCTGCCCGATGTGCTCTGCCCGGTGTGGCTCTGCCCCAGTCCAGCCCGATGTGCCTCTGCCACGGGAAGTCCAGCCCCCGATGTGCCTCTGCCCGGTGTACCGCTTGCCCGGTGTGCCAGTCTTTGATATCCCGCCAGTTACCAGACCCGGGCGATGGAACATGTTCCCAGCTAGGACTGTTTGGAGCGTCCTGAGGCCGCTCCTTGAGGGGGGGTACTGTCATGGAATGGGACTGGCCAGCAATGGTGGGACTCACCTGCCTTTTGATCTGCAGTACCAAGGGCTGGCCAGCGGTGCTCCCATGCAATCAGAGACTCAACCTTTCAGCCAGCTAACACCTGGAACTGATGATACTGGTGTATTTTAAGGGATGGCCAGACTTGCAGACTCCTGCCTTGGTGGTTGTGTTTGTCCTGGGCCCTGTATCTGTCCTGCATCCTGTTTCTGTTCCTTTGCTACCTGTTTCTGATCCCTGGCTTGTGACCCTGACCATCCCTCTGCCTGACCCTCGGTACTACGCTGCTTGCTACCTGTTCTGATCCCTGGGCTTGTGACCCTGACCATCCCTCTGCCTGACCCTCTGTACTACGCTGCTTGCTACCTGCTGAACCTGGCCTGTGACCCCGACCATTCTCCGCTTGCTCCCCCTGTACCTACCTGCCCAATTGATATTGACTCGGCCTGCCTGACGACGCTTGCTTGTATGTACTGTTATCTGTGGGTGGTTGGTTGGGTTTTGTTTGCACTGTATTATGTTCAGTATTGCACTGCGTTTATGTTTTGTATTGTTAGTGTTAATAAATTACATTGTTAATCACATATCTGAAGTCTGCGTTTCCCTGCTTCAGTCACACACCTCTGGTCATACCTGGGGAGCCCTGACATCATGTTGCCTTATGCTTAAGAGAAAATGCCCTTGAAATGGGTGTTCCAACAAGACAACGACTCCAAATACACCAGTAAACGTGCAACATCTTGGTTCCATACAACAAGATTGACATTATGGGGTGGCCAGCCCAATCCCCAGATCTTAATCCAATAGAAAACTTGTGGGGTGACATCAAAAATGCAGTTTCTGAGGCAAAACAAAGAAATAGAGAAGAACTGTGGAATGTAGTCCAATCATCCTGGGCTGGAAATACCTGTTCACAGGTGCCAGAAATTGGTTGACTCCATGCAACACAGATGTACAGCAGTTCTCAGAAACAGTGCTTATACAACTAAATATTAATTAAGTGATTCAAAGGAAAGCAAAATCTTCAAAACATTTTTCAGTTTTATATAGTGAATGTTTGAGTTTGTAAAGAATACAAAACACTGCTAGTTTTTTTGAACAGTCTAATATTCGCTTTTCTTCATTTTTTTTTTTTTTTTTTTTTTTAAGAGGAACAACACAAATTTGATACATTTTTCTTCATGTTTTGATTTGGAATAGAATGTGTAGTGTTCCTAATGCATTTGTGTGTATGGAAATAAAAGCTATTAGAAGGATTTTGAGCTTTATTCTCTTTTTTCAACACACTGCTATTATTTTGAACACAACTGTATGCCATTTTGGTGATTACATTTTAAATTACAAATTTTAATTAACCTCCCTAGCGGTCTGATTATGTCCATATTTCTGTGCTCAAAGCAGTACATTTTTTTTTGCATGGAAATATGTAGTTTTTTTATTGTAGGCCTGTAATTTTTAGGAATAACTCACTGAAATCTGTGTCCGAACAAGAGTCTAGTAAACATTCCGGGTATGTTAAAATTTGAAACATGAAATCATAAATTATAATTTAATAAATAATCATTAAAAATAATCTAATAATAAATTTAATTAAAAAATAATCAACCAAAAGCACTGAAATTTGAAATATAGCGCCAGGTTTGCACATCACTGAGCTAAGTCAAAAAATAGTTTTCAGCATCTGATGACGAATTTCCCCACGAATCATCACACAATTCTGCAAGTAGTTCTAATTTACTATCACTGTTCTCTAGCTGGTCTAAAACCGCTTTTGACCTAAAGGGATGCTTTTTGGACACCATGGACTTTTCTCAGTTTCAAGGCAGAAAGAACAGTTAAAATGCAGGCAGGGCACAGGACAAAGCACTAGGAACAAAATGTATGTGAAATGGTTTGATACAGTAATGTTTTACTAAGTGATTTTAGTGAATGTCACTAAAATTTTCACATTTCCCGCCAGTTCCATCCCCTTACGCCCTGACATCGAAGGGAATGGAAACTGGAAGACAGATGCCGGCATCGGCCGGAGGACATTACAGGGGACACTGCAGGAGGGACATCGCGGGAGCGCAGGACAAGGTAATTGAAGAAGAGATCCTGGAGCAACGCTGCAAGGTATTCCCAAGAGTAGCTCGGGGGTTACCGCTTGTGGTGCTGAAACTTTACCCCGTGTTACACTCTGGAATACCTCCAGGGAGGTTAACGTATATGTTATTGAAGTTGGTGCTTTCAATGTGAACTCAATTTCAAAGATAATTACTTAATTCACCCATACGCACACAAGGGGTCAAAGGGGTTCAAGTCAAGATGAGGATAACAGCCTCCAAGTCAGCAAAGGTGGATCCCCATATTTATATCCTCAGGCTACTTCTAACTGCCCAGCATTTGTGAAGAACTTGAAATATGATTTTGGGTAGACAGGATTTCAAAATTATCCTAAGATACTTAAATCATTACTATACCAATACCCCAGCTTATGCTGGGCCTCAAAGTAGTCCAAGGGTCTGTGATATCAAATGATCCTTGGGCTTAATTCATGCAGAGATCAAACACCATAGGAACATAAATGCATACTTCATATCACTTTGGAATAATGCAAATGCATTTGGATGTTTATAAACAAAAATGTGTCCATTGGTGAACATGACAAACATGGTTAGAGTTGTACATTAAAGAAGAGAGGCACCACCAGGGTAATGCAGAAAAAGGAAAAAAAAAAAAAAAATTGTAGTTGTATGGACAAATATATCTTACAATATATTGACTTTAATATTTTTTTCCAGTGAAAACTCTACAAACAGCTATAGAAAAAAAATTTATTATACACACTGGACCATGTGACTGTTCAAGTCACTCAAGAACTGTAATATGCTAGTAATCGCTCATCTGTAGGCTTCAAGATCTTTTTTTCAGCCATGTTGACCACCCAACCTGGAGCAAGGCCAAAGAATATCTGCCGGGGATCCTTACGCTGGCTCAACATTTCATACAGTTCATCCTTGGTAATGTCAGGAAGGATGTAGCCATATTTCTGAGCAAGTTGCTTCCTTGCTTCATCAACCTTTATGGATCTGCTAAGTAGCCACGTTTTCCAGCACTGGTATAATATTTCACCAAATCCTCTGGTGGAAGCATTCGTTTGGGAATAGGTTTACCATGCATGAAAAAATGGAATTGGTTTACACAGAACCTCTGCAAAAGAGATAAAACAGGTTTAGCAAATCTAGAAGAAATAAGATGATATGGGGGACAACACAAAACCCCAGTAAAACTCACAAAGTTTTCATCCTGTCAAAGGTTATAGTTATGAACCTAATGCAGTAAGGGTTTCATCTTCTATCTACACCAGATCAACATACATAGCAAAAGTGCACAGAAGACAATCTCCCTTCCACATCATCGGGGAATGAGCACTATAAAAAAAAAAAAAACTTTCCATGAGGGGTGGACTACTTTTTTATAGGAAACTATGTTTTCTTTTCATACAACACTGAATCACAGTAGATTAATTAAAATTTTTTGCAATATATAGAGGTGATAACCATTTTACATTATGTTGCCAAACATACAGAACTGTGCAAAAGTTATAGGCAGTTGTGAAAAGATGCTGTAAATTAAGAATGCTTTCACAAATACAAGTGTTAATAGTTTATTTTTATTACTTAGCAAAATAGAAAGTAAATGAATAGAAAAATTATACCAAATCAATACTTGGTGTGACCACCCTTTGCCTTCCAAACAGAATAAATTCTTCTAGGATGTCACGATCCATCCGGCGGTATCTCTAGCAACCCACAGAACAGGATCCCCCAGGGCGCAGGGTCTAAGCCCAATCTGCTTATTCACCAGGGCCCTGATGTGAAGAGGCTGGCAGACCTGGGCAGTGGTGACTGGATCCGTGCAGGATGGATGGATGACAGAGTACGTGTAGCTTAGTCAGGCAGGCCGGGTCGGTAACAGCAGAGACAGAACGTACAGAGCAGCAGACAGAGAGTAGTCGGGTCACATGCCAGGTTTCAGCAACAGGAGGTCAGGTAATTCAGGAGTAAAGCAAAAGAATAGTCAGACGAGCCAGGGATCAGAGCAGGAGACAGTCAGCAGAGGTCAGGATCAAGCTTTGGGTTCAGCAACAAGGTATCTCACGCCAGGAAACAGACGATCAGGGAACAGGGAATGAAGACCATACGGCAATGTGAGCATTGCATGAGCTTGGTTTTAAATAGCCCCGCCCAGCGCCAACAGGCGCGGCCCTGGGTCCTAGTGCCTGCTCCGGCCGTATCAATAGGTGACAGCACATCCTGGTTCCTAAGATGCCCCCTGCCTTGTATGTCTTGTCGGGATCCTACACCTGTGCAGATTCGTTGCGCGACCGTATGATCTCTGGGATTCCTGACATAGGAACACAACTTGCACACAGTTTTGATAGGAACTTGGCAGGTAGCTTATGCCATACATCTTGGAGAACTAACCATAGATCTTCTGTGGATGTAGGCTGTTTAAATTTTTTTCCTTTTTTTGGGTCTCTT